GTCGGAGGGTGATCTACCTCGTGGTGGTGTTGGTTTTAGCACAACACCGACAGAAAGTGACTTCCACTTAGACAAGCCTTAGGTCACCGGAAAAATTATACGATGACTAAGTTCTTTCTTCCCGGTTAACGCTGGAATGACGCACAACGATCTTTTCTCACTAATGCTCTGATACCATGTGAGAAGGCACGAGAGAAAATATGTTATTGATATTGGATGATAAATACAATATAAGAGGTCCCTATTTATAGCTATACACTACAAGGAGATATTACTCCTCTTCCAATGTGGGACAAGACTACACTATACATATCTATAAACTAACAGGTCCCATCATTGGGTAAATAATAAATTGGGATGAGTCTGGCTCTAATACCACGTAAGAGTTTAAGATATGGGAAGAAAGATCTTGTATTCATTTGTGTCTTACATTAGACCTATTTATATAGGGTTTTTACTTAGTACTAAACCCTTCTCTACCAATGTGGGACGCAATACATACTAGCTCTCTAGCAGCTATTAATGCTTAAGTGGTTATAGGAATATTCTGCTGTTTCATTTTGATTTGAGACTTAAAGGCGAGACCATGAGAGAAGAGGATAAGTTGCTAAAATCTTGAAAATAAAGAGTTCCAAGAACTATGGACAAGGACCTGCCCATGTTTATGCTCTCATCTTCAAATCCGCACTTTTCTTGGGGCAGAGAACAGCAAAAGTTCTAGTTAAACCTGATTGCAAAATCTTGAAAATAAAGAGTTCCAAGAACTAACCTGCCCATGTTTATGCTCTCATCTTCAAATCCACACTTTTCTTGGGGCAGAGAACAGCAAAAGTTCTAGTTAAACCTGATTGCAAAATTTACTTCATCATACTAATGTTGCCTGTCATGACTTTTGATATTGAAAGCTACTCGCCGCCCCAAAGAATAAAGAACAGAAGAAAGCCCCAAAGCATCTAGTCAAGTTGCTGTTTCTCTTGTTTCTTTGGCTTCAGTAAACTAATGAGTCGCAGTCTGCTTTAAATTTTCTGCCCTGCACCACATCAAGTATATGCTTCAAGAATTTGGATGTACTAATGAATCATTTCCCTAGGTTGATATTTGGTTTTAACCTTTTCACGTTACAAGTACTGGGTCGTCAAAGTTCTTTTAATGATCACAAGTACTTCTTGAAGTTGAATCTTTTTCGCTCTTAGCGTCCTTCAGTTATTTGTTTAATAATCATGACCATTTGGATGTCTAACGAAGTTCTACAATCTCCTGACTCATGCAGCTGAATGCTGGGGATAATTCTGTCTTGTACTGGCCTGCTGAGCTATATACAGCAGTTCCAAGTAGGCCCTTCTTTCCAAGGGGCTTTCTGTGGGACGAAGGTTTTCATCAATTGCTAATCTGGTCAGTTGCTTGTTCGTGTTTTTTATTTTTATTATTTTTTGAATTCATATCTACTGCTTAAAAATTATATTTGCAGTTGGTTTCTAGTCTCTCTAATTTGCACTTACTAGGGCATTCTTGAAACCTTTAGGCGTTGGGATATATACATTAGCTTGGATATCATTGGACATTGGCTGGATCTGATGAATATTGATGGATGGATTCCGCGCGAGCTAATCTTAGGTGCTGAAGCCTTAAGGTAATATATCATGAATTCCACTAAGCTTAGGTAACCATTTCACAGTTTTCCGTGTAATCCTATCTAAAGCTTCTATCTGGTCAACCTTGCAGTAAGGTCCCAGAAGAATTTGTTCTTCAGCATCCAACTAATGGAAATCCGCCGACATTGTTTTTGGCCTTGCGCGGTATTCATTTCTCAACTTTTTTGTAGAATCTAGTCTTGAGAAGATATCCACATCTTATTCTTGTTGAGAAGACTATTAATATTCTATTTTTGCAAGCATCATTGTGCTGTCCTTTGAGTCAATATCCTTGTTAATTCATACACTAAATTCTCATTAGTGCTGGAACATATGTTCCGCTTGTTTAATGATCTGTTTGTAATCTTAAATCAATGGATTTTGAGTATCATTAGAAGCTAAAACCAACAGGCTGAATAGTGATGTCTCCATCATTTGGGTGAGAAGAAGAGTTTCAAGTTTCGATGTACAAATGAATCTGAAGGAGAGCAAAAACAGCTGAAAAAGATAGGGTGAGGTTAAAAATCTAATTTGCAGACAAAAGTTATATGCCATAGCTGATCTGGATTTTTATTCTCAATCTCTTTATTTAAACAATTTGAAATGGATATGGAAACATTTCACTAGTTGGTTAAGAGGATTTGTAGAGTCGGTACTTTCCTGAAGCAAAAAAAAGATACGGCTCTGAATTTGGCAGCAAACAGCATCATTCTGAGACAATTCCATTTTCTATTTGCTACCTATTTTTTGATACCCATACATTTTCTTTTGGATGGTAGGGCACAAATCCCATTCTTAGAATCACCTTTTTGTAGTAGACCAGGCTCTCCCAACCTCAATGCCATAGCTCTAGGTGAAAGCGGACTCTTACCTCCCATACACTAATGGTCTATTATGTACACGAAATGAGGCGGTTAAAGAGCCTTGTACGAACAATGTAGCTTTCTGAAGTTTAACAAGAAAACTAGAAAATAGTTTAGGAAAGAGGAGAGAATGTCATTACAAATGCAAAGAAGTACAATATTTGATGTAATGCCACATTCAAGAAAAGTTAGAGATGTGAAATCAATGGTGGAGTCTGAAGTGTTGTGTGACACTTGACAGATGTTCCCAACGATAGGGTATACGAAATCTGCCCACCAAAACTTTGATGCAGTATAGGATTGGACAAAAGATTTGATTCTATCCATGTCATCTAGCATAAGATTGATAAACTAGATCCGATTTAAAGCTTGCTTTGCATTGTCCAATGATGGATGCTTTGTTTGCAATTTTTAGATTGTGGACCTCAAGGATACGTGATGTGAACTCGTGGTAGATATTGATCCTTGTATAATGCAATTAATCGATTGATTTTACGGATAATTTCAAAGACTTCTCCTCACGTTTCGCTCAAGCACACTGACGTCCCTCGTAATTTAAGATATTACACATACCTCCCTTATTTGTTTTTTTGTGTAACAATTCTTTTAACATATTAATCATTAATATAAAAAAATTATTATCTGACTATTTACCCTTTTTAATATAATTTTTAATTAATTAATTTAATAAACATCTCTTTAAATAAAATTCATTTCCACTCCCCTTACTATTCCATCCCCCATTATGGAAAAACAAAATCGAATTGCATCCAGTTCTGCAACCCCATGGTCCAAGCAATTGGATATGGCTTGGCGCATTAATGGAAGGAATATTTGAATGGTGGCCGTCAGTCGCCACAGGAAGCAGTGTCTGGAGGAGATAATGGGCATCCACGGGCAGCAACTCCCGAGTCTTTTTGAGTCGTATATTTGTAGTTCTCATCACTTGCCATCGGATGTGATATGAGCACTCACTGCAGGACATTCTTCACCCTACTATGTTCTTGACAGTTAGTTTTATTGGAATCTCATGGCACTGTGAAAAAAGGAGAGAGACATTGTTTTACTGGTTTTGCTTTTTATTTAGTTGACTTCAGTTTTGTATATTCAATTAATATACAGGTTTAGCCCCTCTTATTTATCGTTAGAAGGTTTTTCCGATGTTGGATTCTTTCGGCGGGTTTCTTTTGTGTCATGGGTGCGATGGGAGATTCTATAAAAATAAGCAAGATTTAAGAAAGATAGAGAATATTAATTGAGAAGAAAAATCTTTTATGATCTAGTTTAGCCCTTTTGTTGTTTGTTTGGGGAGAGGAAAAAATTCGGTACCACTTTAGTTTTACTGAGCATTAGCCATTCTGTTACTCCTGTAGATATTATTTAGGTTGTAATAGTATGCAAGTTGATATGTTTATATGAATCCTGAAATTGTTAGATTGTTTGTAAACGAGACATGAGGTTTGAGCATTATCCCAAAGGAATTTTTAACAGTGACAGAGATAGGAATTATTGTTATTTTAAAAAATATTTACAAATTTAATTAAAAAGTATACTAAAAAGGGCAAATTCGTAAGATCATAATTGTTTATATTGATGATAAATATGTTAAAAGAATTGTTACACAAAATATCAAATAAGGGAGGTATGTGTAATATTGTAAACCACGAGAGAGGACAGTGTGATTGAGCAAAATGTGAGGGGATGTCTCTGAAATTATCCCTTGATTTTATGTAGGTATCTATGCTAAAATTCTGAAGTTCAGAAGGTTTTTTCTGTTAACAGAGTCCAAAATCCCAACTATTTCTTGATAAAGAGCACTGCTTTGCGCTTTACTGACCCAGTGAGTGGAACATGTATTAACTGGCCTTGTTCAATCTTGTCTACTTTAGTTTAATCATACAATGCAGTTATAAATGACCTTTTGAACTTTGTTAATTCGTAAGAGAGCTGGCATAGCAGGTTGATTAGTCATTTTGCGGAGTGTGGGCCCTATCTTTAACAGTCTTTTTCAAAAGCTCAGCTGCTTTCTCCAATGTGCTCTGCTTTGTGCTTGTGGCGGAGAGTGTTTTGGGGTTATAGCTGAACAAATTTATGTATCTTTGAGTGAAATGTGTCAATTCGGCCCCGGGCTTTAGATGAATGGTAAGTGGTAAGAGCGCATAACGTGATGTGGGATTAGGCGTACGCCACATGTTCGAGGGGCGGGGATTTCTCGGATATAAAAAAAATGTGTCAATTCTGTTTTGATACAAGAAAGTAAGATTAGACACAATGATGTTGTATATTTTAAGCAATAAAATGGTGCTCTCTGTCGGAAAGAATTACAAGAGTAGTTCAGGATTGGTATATGTGGTGGTCTACTGTGCCAAATTTGATTACATCAGGCTTTTATGTGGAGCTGGTACATTTGCATGTCAACTTGAAAGCACTTACGCTATAGCACTTGGATGTTTAATCTACTTTCAACAGTGTGTATCTTCTTACAGTTCATGAGCTTGAACATTTTCTTGAACTTCCTCTTAAGCATGAGGAATATTCAATCTATCGATGTGACATTTTTCAGTTTGCCACCTGTTGGCTGCAAGTTCTGCTCTAGCTATCTTAACATACTATGTGTTGCATATTTAATTGGACCCCAATTTTCTGCATCAGTTCATAACGAGTATGGCTAAGCAATTTTCAGTGGTGTCGTAGAACAGTTTGTGTGGAATCATTAACAAGTTTCGCATTGCAGATGTGATTTCCAACCTGAAGAAAGAAAAGTTTGCTGCTGCTGAAGCCAGTGATATCTCTGTCTTCTTGGACCGGGCATTTGTTCGGCTTGAAGCATGGTTCAAATGGTTTAACACAACCCAGTCTGGTAAATTTCCTCTCTTGTGAATTTACCTTAAAAAGATATACCTACTCTTATTGCTACTGGATAAGGTATGAAATTAACCGCTATGTCACTAAGTATCTGTTTAACTTCATGTTGGATGTAAACAATTTTGAGAAAGCATTTAAGATAGCCTTCAGCTTTCTGGTGATCTTAGAGTTGTCTTATTTCTAGGTGTAGAATTAGTGGGGATCACGCTTCACGTGTCAGCTTGAATTCCATCTGTTTGCCCTTTTGAGTTTGTGCCTTTGTAAATCAGAAGTGACAATACCATTGGACGTTGCAATCTTCTTTATGAAGTGTTTAAAACTGCAGCAGCAGTGGAAGAGCAAAAATTTCAATTGGGGGAAAAAACCATTTTCTGCACTTTATGTAACGAAAAAAGCAACTATTTCAGCAAGGTCTACATCAAACAGGAATCTTTATCAGTAGGAAGTAGCTTTGAGCTTTTGCCAGCAATTTGTAATTATTAACCATGTTTAGATAAGGGTTCAATATTGGGTCTCTTGCTCTTAATTTTCTTTAAGAATAGCTAGGAAACAACCCCATTTACCCATAGCCTTATTCGATGTAAAAATAATTAAGCCTTGATCCTAAGGAGGAAAATAATTTGTTGGCTTAATTTAGAATATATATCTTCTAACTCAGGCTTTTTCCTCAGGGTTCTGAACCAATGTTTCTGCGGCCAATCGGTTTCTGATATTTCTTTGAGTTCTACTAATACCATAGTATGTGTTTTAACCTGTTAAGTATTGCAATTCCAGGGAAGGAACTGGGCAGCTATTACTGGCATGGAAGAGATGCTGCTACGATCCGTGAACTAAATCCTAAGGTTGTGATCTAAAACATATCTATGCTGAAAACATCTCTGCTGATGTATTTTTTCTTCCTTTTTCCAGAAAACTGGATAGGTAGTATCATTTTCATGTGTATTTTTCTTTTCCTTTCATCAAGTCTAATTTCTGATATGCCCCAGGGCTTTGGTCTAGTGGTAAGAGCGGAATGCATAGGTTTGGCGCACGTCACGGTTTCGAACCCAGCCACATAAAAAAGCCTGGTATTTAAGTGGAGAAGGGTAGAGGGGCAGATCCCATTATCTATCAAGGTTTGAACTGTGCGCCACTAGCCCTAGGTGATCTTTCGGTTATAATAAAAATTCCAACAACAACAACAAACCCAGTGTAATCCCACAAGTGAGGTCTAGGGAGGGTAGTGTGTACACACACCTTACCCTCACCTTGAGGAGGTAGAGAAGCTGTTTCCAATATACCCTTGGCTCCAATAAAGATAAAAAAGCAACGGCACCATAACACCAGCAAGATAACAAGATAACAAGAAAACCGAATCGAAAGAAACTACAAGCAGTGATAGAAATCTGAAAAATAAGAAAGTACATAGTAACACTAATACTACTAGTATGGACAAGAAAAATGCACGAGTACCTACTAACCCTCCACCCTAATACTCGACCTCCACACCCTCCTATCAAGGGTCATGTCCTCGGTAAGCTGAAGCAGCGTCATGCCCTGCCTAATCACCTCTCCCTAATACTTCTTTGGCCTACCTCTACCTCTCCTCATACCAACCAAGGCCAACCTTTCACACCTCCTTATTGGAGCATCTGTGCCTTTCCTTTTCATAAATAGTACTCAATAGTAGTACTAATTAAGTAGTCCAGAGGATAGTAGACATTGCTCTCACATGAAAAGAGCTGAAGTCGGTAAGGAAGGAGCTACCAAAATGAAAAGAGCTGAAGAGGTTGGTGACTTGTTAAATTTTGATAGTAGAAACATCAAGGGAAGCAGGGCCACTGTTAATCACAGGAGTTTGGGCGAGGAATTAGGAGTAGCATCTGACTTTCTGGTGGGGTTCATTTTATTTTTTGATTCTTGTCTAGGTTGTTTTTGCCTTTTGGGTAAGGTATACTCATTGTGTAGGGATTGCATCCCCGAGATGTTCATATCTACCAAATTATCTAAAAGTTATATTCCTAACAAAAATGGGCAAGATATTCTTAAGGAATCGCGAACAAAATTAAGCATATTATAGGACAAATACAGGATCAGTGCTGTGTGATCACCCTAGGTCATTCCTGAGGCTGATTCTTTTTGCTTCGTGCATGAATTGACTATAAAACGCACGATTTTTGGCTTCTACAGACATTATCCTCTGGACTGGATGATTATCCACGTGCATCTCACCCAAATGAAGATGAACGGCATGTGGATCTTAGATGCTGGATGCATCTTGCAGCAGATTCCATGCATTCAATTGCAGAGCTTCTGAAGATGGATAAAGATGTTGAAAAGGTATTAAAATACAGAAGTTTCTTAAAGCATTATTGTTTGTATAATTTGCTGAGTCCTGCATTAACTCTTGCAGGAGTATGGCTTTACTGCAAAGATGCTCTCAGATTTTGAACTTCTTAACAAGGTGAAACATCTTCTAATTCCTAAGCGTACTTATTCCCATCCAGATAGGGTTTTATCATTAACTTGTAACTATGTATGATAACAGGATAACTGATGCACCCCTTAAAATCTCTGTTGCACTTATTGACCGTCAACATTTCTTTCAAATGTTTTTTAATGTTGCAGATGCACTTAGACAGTGCCAATGGAGCTTATTGTGATTATGGAAATCATACAGAAAAGGTACGTGGTTTATCATATTAACATATCTTGGGGGCAGAGTCCACTGAGTTTTCCATATATGTGATTGATGCAGATCTTATTTGTGCTTGCTACATTCCAAACCTGACCAAGTTCAGATGAAGTACTTTTGCTGGTTCTTCATGGTCTTATCCATGATTAACTCATTGGAATCTTGTCTTATTTTCCATGCATGCTGTTTTACCTTATTTAGCACTTTGCACTTTGAGGCGGATGTGGAAGTGAGAATTGATACACAAGTCATCCCCAAGAGAGGAAGCTTCAAGTATTTTAAGCCAATAATCCAAGGAAATGGAGAGATTGATGATGATGTCACACATCGTATTGGAGGGGTAGATGAAATGGAGCCTCACATCTATTGTTCTATGTGATAAGAATGTGCCACCGAGACTTAAAAGTAAGCTCTATAGAGTGGCTGTTAGACCAACTATGTTGTATGGGGCAGAGTGTTGGCCAGTCAAGAGCTCAGACGTTTAGAGGATAAAAGTAGCGGAAATGAGGATGTTATGTGTGGGCATACTAGGAGAGATAAGATTAGGAACAAAGATATAAGGGGCAAGGTGGGAGTAGCCTCCGTGGTGGACAAGATGAGGGAAGCAAGGCCGAGATGGTTTGGACATGTAAAAAGGAGGAACACCGATGCCCCAGTGAGGAGGTGCGAGAGGTTGGATCTTGAAATTTGTTCTCTTATACGCAAATTGAGGAATTCCGATCTTGAAATCTGTTAACCTCACGAGTCACCGTGCAATTCAAAATAATATCAAATGATATCTTTAAGCATCTTAAGTTCAAAGTAGAGAGGAGCTCAAAAATGCTTCCGGAGGAAGAAAAAATCAAGTTTCTCCAGAAAAAGAGAACTAATGAGAAACCTAGTTGAGTCTTAGTAATATGACTTTAGTTTAGCCTTCTTAATTGCTGTTACTCTTTTTCTTTTTTAATTGGTTTTTTGTTACACATGCTTACTTTGGTGCTTTCACATTTTGTTAAGTAGATTGTAAATCATGATCCTTTGCGTTTACTAGCTCAAATTTTCCTTTCCACCATCATAACATAGATGAGAACTACAAAATGAGAATGGAGGTCAATAGCTAAACCAATACAAATTCTTCTAAACTGAAAGAAACCCTAATAATTTTTTACAAAAAAACCCTAGCAAAGATATTAGCCCTGACAATAATGTATTGCTTACAGGCCAATTAACTCTAACTTTGTTAACTGCCCCAAAATCTAAACCAAACTGTGCAATTGCTATCGGACAACAATACCATATTGAAGGAACCATTGGACTGGGAAAGGATCTTATCATGTGGTTAGAAGATAGTCTCTTCCTCCAATTTTAAGTGGTGACTCAAAATGTTTATACTTGCAGTGTTCTTCCCCAATTTTAAGATTTTAAGTTCATATAAGTCGAAGAGGGCCAAGTATGATTGATTTCCAAGATGTTTTAACACAGGCATGTACCGTGTGTTCCAAATTTCAAGAATCTACGTTCATTCATTCATTTACATTATTTCTGTCTCACCATCTTTTCAGGAACAACCCCCCTCCCAACCCAAAAAAAAAAACCGATCCTCTCCCCTGTGGAGTGGGTTATGGGCCATGAGAGGTAGTGTGTGCTCTTTCCTCAAGAATGCTCTTTTCCTTTCAGGTTCAATTAACTTGGAAAATACTGGAGACTGGCAGCAATTACCCAAGGCGAGAGCTCGTACGAAAAGTCCTAGAAAAGCCTGTTTTACAATTGGTTCCTCATCTTGGTTATGTGAGCCTTTTCCCATTTATCCTCAGGCTTATTCCACCGGTAAGTTCTTACGCATCATTTGAGCAAATATCATATTACATGTTGTTAACTCTGGTTTGCTTTTTATTTATATTCACTTTTGTTTGGGGGCTCAACTGGCAGTAAAATGCTCTAAAGTTTTATTATTAATTTTCTGGTTTCTCTTGTCTGATCTGGTCATTGTGGATTATCATGCATGCTTATTTTCATTCAGGATTCATGGATACTTGATAGACAGCTTGACCTTATCTCTAATAGGAGCATTTTGTGGACTGATTATGGGCTGAGATCCTTATCCAAAACAAGGTGATAGCAATGACTGATATATGTACAATCCAGCAAACAATTTTGTCCATTCCTAGTTTCTTTGTTAAGAACATCTGAAGAAATGTTATTCTGTTGTTGTTTTGGATGCTACAGCTCCATGTATATGAAACGAAACACAGAGCATGACCCTCCGTATTGGAGAGGGCCAATCTGGATACCCTTGAATTATTTGATTGTTTCCTCACTTCATCACTACTCTCAAGGTACAAAATGAACAAGGACAAGTATACTCTTGATCCTTTGTTTTATTTGAGATGTTCATTAAACCAATTTATTTCTGTTTCAATTTTTGAAGAGCCTGGACCATACAGAGAAAGAGCCAAAACCATCTACAATGATTTGAGGAGCAATTTGATGAGGTACTGGTGTTCTCCCAACTGAAACTGCTCCTTAATTTCTTTATACGTTAGAGTGGCTGCTCACATGTGGTATACAATCATACTGTTTCATTTTTAACATATCACAGAAATATAGTTGGGAACTATCAGCGGACAGGGTATCTGTGGGAACAATATGATCAGAAGAAAGGGAAAGGAAAAGGTGCACGCCTGTTTACTGGATGGACAGCCACTGTGCTATTGATCATGGCAGAAGCTTACCATGAAGTTTAGTGATGGTAATATCAAACTAATGGAGCCAAAACAATCATTTTTGACATTCTGCATTTATATGTATACTACAACTAGTAATAGTATTTTTGATAATCCATCGATATCCGAGAATGCATTTTACTAAAGAATTTAGAGGTAACTTATTTGGTTCGCCCATGAGATTGATAAAAGAGTTTAATGTTGGCATACTGCAAAAGTGAGTTGGGACGAGCTAATTAGGACATACTCCTACACCTCAATACCAAGCAAGCCCGTTAAGCTATATGAATCCCTATTAACCATGATGTGCCAATTCAGTTCATATTGGTCACATATTAATCTGCAGTGTGAGAATTCACCATGAATTGATTAGCTTTATGCTGGCTCATCTTTTGTTCGAGCTTGTGATGGGCAATGTGATAATTCAAATTGCTAAACGATTGGCCTAATTGTGCTATAACATTAGTTTACATAACATCTACAAATTCTAGAAATTCGAATTTGTTACACTAGTTAAATTTGTTGTTTAGATTTGTGTAATTCATGTTAGAAGTTAAATTGAGCGAGATAAGCAAACATGATTTCTTTTAAGCCTTATTTGAGTATCAGCCAGTTCTGTGAAATCTCATGCCACTCATTTTTTTCTTTTTAAGTTTTACGTTCATTGTATCAACTGACATAGATCTGGTATATACTGTGCATATAATTGTTCTCAATTCCAAGCAGAGCCCCACGTTCTGTTAGCTCCACTTTCAAGTATTTAATTAAAGAGAACATTTTGACAAATTCAACCACTTCGGTCTCATCATGACATTGAGTAAAAGTACCCAAAACGTATAGTCAAACCCTTTAAAGATAGAGAAAACATTTGATTTTTAGCAACGCTAAACACCGTTTCTAGCTTTTTTACTTACCTGTAATTCAAATGTTGTTTCGTTTTAGAGATTTAAAGTGAAGAATAGGATGTCTTCATAATGAATGTAAAACAATCATTCTTTACAACTTTCGATTAGCAAATTAATCAGTAAGAATAGGCGGTCAAGAATATAAGAGTTGCAACAAAGTAGAATTTGTGCAAATAGAAGACAACGACCTATATTTTTTTGTTTTTTGTTTAAACAAGCATTTATATTATTAAAAGCTGAAAGTACGATTGCATACTGGAAACTGAACGCAAGGTTACAGTTCCCCTAGAGTCTAAAAGTAACTGCGAAGAAACAAAAGGTGGGGGAGGGGTGTCGAAAAGTATAACATCGTGTTGTAGTTCGGTAGCCATTTGCCTTCCAAAACATACTAGTTGATCCACCACTCCATTCCCCTCATTAAATGTGTGATGGATCGATGATAGTCGGTAGTTCACGGAGCAACAACCTGCATGCATCAAAAAGATGTGAGTACTTTAAATTACCTGTGGCCTGGGGGTAAGAGAGTGACAAATACCTGAGAGTCAGTCCCCACGGTGAGTGGAGTTACGGTCAGGGAATAGAGGCACGTAGGTGTTGTAGATGAATAGTAAATATATTGTGGGAATTCAAAGGAGAGAGTAGTCAAATTATAGTAAGGTGGAAATAGAATATGACAGTATAGATTCGTGAGAGAGTAAATGACCTGTATTAATTGTCTTAGTGATAAGTTTGGGGGGATCCAATGAACATACCAAAGGCTAATGTGGTGTCTATTACCAACATTCCATGTCGTGCCTGCATGGCATAGGGCAGCAGCCTTGCTGAGACTCTTCTAGATGTGTGAGTCAGTGGCTTTGGTGGTAAAGGTCAATGAATGGGAGTGCGTGAGATGTGGATGGCAATATTTGCCTTGTAGGATGTAAGCCCAAAGGCCAGAGGGACGTTGGATGAAACACCATGTTAAGCTAGGCAACATAGCCATGCGTGAAATGTGGATGGCAATATTTGCCTTGTAGGATGTAAGCCCAAAGGCTAGAGGGACGTTGGATGAAACACCATGTTAAGCTAGGCAACATAGCCATGCGTGAAATGTGGATGGCAATATTTGCCTTGTAGGATGTAAGCCCAAAGGCTAGAGGGACGTTGGATGAAACACCATGTTAAGCTAGGCAACATAGCCATGTTTTTAGGGTAAGTTTTTTGGATACCCAATCCACCATTTTGTCTAGGCGGAGTAATAGTGTCCCAATTGAGGAGGTGGATTTTATTGGGGGAAACATTCGAATCCCGAAGAAAATATCGTTGAATGCGGTCAATATGATGAAGTATTTTGGGTGAAAGTAGATTATTTTATATAGTGTATGTGGGAATGAAATTAAGAACCAATTTAATGAGGGTGGAGCGGCCGCTTAAAAAGAGAAATTTGGTTTTCCAACCTTGGAGACGATTATTCATGCGGTCTAGGATATATTGGTAGTTAGAAGACTTTGGGTGGTAATTGGACTTGGGAAAGCCCAAATATTTGCCAAAATTTGAAGCTAAGCGTATATTGAGAGCTGACACTATAGTGTTTTTAGTTGTGATACATTTTTGAAAAGAGAATTGACTTTGTAAAATTGATAAGTTGCCCAGATTGAGCAGATAGGTGGTGAAAGATATTTATGATGGTCTGAGCATTCAGTAGGTCTACTTTGGCAAACAAAACAAGATCGCCTGCAAAGAGAAGGTGAGAAAGAGAGGGTCTAACACATGCAATCTTTATCGAAGTCCAACGTTGGAGGTGGATAGCTTCATCAATCAACTGTGAAAGTGCTTCCATAAAAATAATAAAAAGGTAAGGAGATAAAGGGTCACCTTGTAGAATGCCACGGAAGGGTTGAGAGAAAGAAATGGGTTTACCGTTAACTAGAATAGAGATGGAGGAAGTAGTAACACAAGACATAATGAGTTTAATAATGGAGTTTGAAAAATTTTGCTTTTGTAGGGAGTAGCATATAAAGAACCATTCGAGATGATCAAAAGCTTTTCTGAGGTTCTATTTTTAACGCCATTTTTCCGAATCGTCTCTTGGTTTTGTGGAAAGAATGTAGATCTTCTTGTACAATAATCGCATTATCCATAACACATCGACCAAGGATAAAGCTACACTTAGTAGGATGAATCAGTGTCGATAGAAAGGGCCTAATTCTATTAATCAGGGTTTTGGTTATTTATTTGTAGATAGTGTTGCAAAACCCAATGGGATGGTATTAGGAGATGTTGGAAGGATGTTTAACCTTAGGGACTAAAGTTAAGAAATTCTGGTTAATATGTAATGGTATGGAGTAAGTTTAAAAAGCATGCATAAAAGTTTGTATGACAACATGCTGAGTGTAGGTTCAATATTTTTCAAAGTATATTATTTAACCCAAAAAATAGTTTTTAAAGTCAAAGCGATTAAATAAAATAATTCGAATTTTCAACAACCGATTCACTTCACTTTTTCAAATATAATTGATGCGAAAAAGGAACAAACAATAATAAGTAAATAAACTGAGAGAGTAAACGAAATAGAAATTTTATTGATGATTGCATCCTTCATTTAGTAGGAAAGAAATAGTTTTTCAATAATAGAGAACATTAAGAGAATTCTATAATTGACAATATGACTTAATAGAATTTTCGATGGGGATATAAGATATGGAGGGTGGATTAAATAGTACTATCACTCAAAGCCGTTTGCCTTGTTTAGTTCTTGCATGTTTCTGTTATTTATTGCATTAATTTCCTGTTATGTGATTGATTTGTAACGATTAAGATAATAATAACAAATCACGTATAATTAGGGATTAATTCATCCTTTTTATATTCGTAACTATTAATGACTTTAATCATAAGTCCCTTGGCNGGCAGCGTTATCTACACCTTTTGAACACAATCATTCTTCTTTATTGTAATAACTCCCATGACACCTGTCATCATAAAATAAATTCACGTGGCGATTAGTTCATTCACTTTCTTAATATTCTCAACTGAATATTCAGAAAGTTGAGAGTTTATTTATGGCGAGAATATTTCGCCGCCTCTTCCCGAGATTATTATGACGCGCTGCATAAGTGAGATGCCATACACTCTTTCCATTTAATGCCCGAGACACATATTTTGTTGGGATTGGTTTTGATGTTGGCAGTGATTTTTTAGGCACAGACGGCTCTGTCAATTTAATATGACAGTTCCATAATGATGGTTCATGATGACGTATCTTTCCCTTATAAATATGGAACCGTAAATCCTCAAAACTTTCCTCCTACTTTCGTACGTTTTCGTCCTCTTCTCAAAATCTTTTCTATTGCTCTTCCAATTCCCTTCCTTCTTATTTTCAATCGCTTCCAAATCTTCTACTTCTACTACTTCTACTGCTTCCCCTAGTTGTGCTATTATAGTCGACGATCTTCCTTCTATAGCGGCTCCGGTTAGGAATAGAAGATGTGATGGAAGGCTTCATAGCCTTGGTTATATAGAAAACATAAATACTCCTCCTTCCATCAGAGGGGATTCTTCAAAATCTGCTTTTTCTTCTAGAACTAGGGCGTCTGCTACTCCTAAATCTTCTTCTAAAGGCCAAGCCAAAGATACCAATGAACCTTTGGCAGAACCTTAATTTCTGAGATTGTTTTAAAATTTTTTTCTTTTGTTGCTGATTATGCTGTATGGAACAACGACTTGAACAAGACAGAAGATCACAATGATCATGTTGATCTTTACCCATCCTTTGTCAAACATGGCCATCTTCCTCTTGTTCGCAGAGAATGTCGATGAAAATCTGATTTTTCCATCATGGCTCTTGGTGAAAACAATTGAATAACCACCCACCGTGAAGGCTATTATTTCATTTACACTTACTCATTTACCCTTTGATTCGAACCGGCAATAGACCCGGCGATCATCGAATTTTGACGATTTTTCAATGTGTGCCTTGGCCAAATAGGCCCGATGGTTTGGAGAGTAGTAACATGTTTGCGCTATTTGTCAAATTTGGTTTCTGCTCCTATTACCTTTCATCACCTTCTCCACTTGTATTCTCCCAAACTTTTCTGTGCTGGTATATTTAATCTCACGGCAAGGAGTAAGCAAGTTGTGGTTGGCCCCGAGGTAACCATGATAGAAGATGGCACAACAGGTACATGGCTATTCCAACTCGTGAGTTGATGGGGGACGAGAATATGCCTTTTTCCAAATGGTGGAACTTTATATGTAAGTTTCTTTCACTATCTTTAAAGTCCTTTCCTTTTAATTAAAGCTCTAATTGTTCTATATGTATGTTTTTTAGCAACCATGGAAGTCGTTGGTGAAATTCTGGACTTCCGTGAATGGGTATCATTGATGCTATCTTCTGCTCCCATGGACCAAAGGACTTGGAAATTTCTTTCCAAGAAATTTGGATGAAAAGTAAAAACCCACGGTAAGTTTTCTTTCACCGTGTTTATTTTTTGCATTCATTCATTTTCTTTAACACCCCATTCTCGAATTTAGGGTTTGGAATTCGTGTTGTTGCCCCTACCTCTTCTCCTGCTATTAGACTTGATGTCAACACAACTCAGGAGCGTATTTTGAGTTTGTCCTTGTTACAACCCAAATTCACGTACCTTAGATCACACCATAAGTTAGTCGACGTAAATCCAAGAAGAGATTATCTTTGAGATGATAAGAAGT